CCCTCCTCCTCCTCCTCCTCCTCCGCCTCCGCCGTGCTGCCGGCCATGGTGCTCCACGGCGATCCGCCGAGGGGCGCCCCCGCCGCCGACGGCCTGCTTCCGCGGCGTGTCGCCCGCGCCGCCCCTCGCCGACCGTTTCTGCTCGTGGGGGTCTGCCTGGGAGGGCGTCCTGGCCTCCTGGGCCTTTTGAGCAGTCTTATGCCATCAATAAATTCTGTAAGAACGGTTTTCTGAAGGCAGATCTGCCTTCAAAAAACCTGCAAGGAGGAAAGACTGGTCTACTCTGTAAGAACGGTTTTTTGAAGGCAGATCTGCCTTCAAAAAATGGTCTACAGAGTAGACCAGTCTTTCCTTTTTGAAGGCAGATCTGCCTTCAAAAAACCGTTCTTACAGAGGAGGCCATCTTGGGCCTTTTGGGTGCATCTTGGGGCCATCTTCGCCTCTGCCAGAATAGGTGCGAGTTCGGCTGTGTTTCTCTTGCGCCCGCGCAGCGTCACGTGCTTCCTGACCCTCCTGGAGTTGGGTCCTCGTTTCCTCTCCGCTGCGCCCCGCGTCTCCTTCCTAGCTGCCTTCCCTCCTCTTCTTCATCGTTGCCACTGTCGCTCGAGGGGAGACGCCATCAGAGCACCTCGTGGGGTCGGCAGCCCACTGCTCCCTGCTTTCCCCCTCCGCGCGCCATGGCTTGGCTCTCGGAAGAGAAACGGCATACATCTATCCGAGGCGGGAATTTATACATGACCACCGCCTGGAGGGTCAGTTTTCGGAGCCTTGGCAGGCGGTGGATGTGGACATATTCGGGCCCCCGGGGGCCGAAATAGATCCATATCCACCGCCCGCTGGGGCACCAGGACGTCGGTTCCCAGGCGGTGGGTATGGATAAGTCCCCGCCTCGCAATATATGCATTCGGAGCTCCTCGCGGATTTCTTGGGATCGGCGCTGTGCCCCCCCCCTGGTGGCGCCTGCGGCGCCGCCTCGGGCGCGCTCCGCGCGCCAGGCAAGGGGGGTCAGCGTGGGTCCAAGAAGTTTGGGTGGCCCGTCGAACGTTTACACATTTCATTTCTAATCATTCGGAAGTTCTTCGTTTTTTTTTTAGGGCCAAGATCCTTTCATTTCTAATTGTTCTATCCTGGGCCTCTTCCTGGCCACTAGGGGGCCAGGAACAATTAGAAACGAGCACAATTAG